ATCATTTCAGAAAAAAAATTATTTTCTGAAAAAAAAAAGTTTTGGGGGTTAATGTGATATATTTATTTAAATCCGGGGTCAATGTGTAATATTAAGGAAGTTAGAGCATAATGGGTGGAATTGTTAAGAATTATATTATTGAGGGTATTTTAGACTAAAGACATGGGGATGGGCTTAATTGAGAGACTGTTTTTTTTGTGGACTAAAATGCATTTAAGTCCCATGTGATGGGCCTATTTGCCATTTGCCCTTTATTATATCTATAGAGCCAAATTTTGTAGTCACGAAGGCTAGATTCAAAATAGTTGGTGAAAGTTAACAATTCTTATTGGATTATCAATTTTTTTTTTTTTTTTGCGCTAAAACAAATACCAATTCATTTTCTTTTCAATACCATTAAAATAAAATAAAATAAAAAAATATATGATAAATAGGTAATAATGCTAATATCTTTAATGAAAATCAATGCCACACAAACATAAAAAAAAAAAAAAAAAAAAAAAAAAATCCTTTGTTCAATACTACAACACAATACTCTCACACCCTTCTTCTTCACAAATCTTCTAAAAGATCTCAAAATTCAAGGAAATTAAAACCTTACAAAATTCACAAAATGGAGTCATTAGACAACAAAGTGCCAGTTTACATGGAATGAGAACCCGTTAAAGTATTTATTCATGTTTTTTTTTTAAGTTTGGAAGTCAATTTTCAAGTTTTTCTTTCAAACCCATCATCATTTTTCGACACATGTGGAATTTAGCTCAGAATTCGACAAATACAGGCTGAAAATCACATGCGAAACCTAATACCAAATTTAAGAAAAATTCGACCAAATCAAGACAATTCATCAACAATTAATCAACATTCAATGCTCAACATACATATTTCTCTAACAATTTTCCTATATTGGCTAATTTAACAACCTTTGAAAGAGATTTCAAAGAGTTTTAAAAATAAAATTTGAAAATCTATTTGGTTTTGTCTGGTTGGGGTTTAGTCATGGTTTATGGTGGTGCATGTGGCGTCGCGTCGGCCGAGTTGGGGTTGGGGGAGGGTTTTTTCTTTTCTTTTCTTGGTTTTCAACTAGTGAATAGTTATTTTGACTTATTTTGTATAAGTAATATTCATTAGGGGAGTCTTTGTACTTTGTGGTATTTAATCCAAGAAAATTTTGAAAAAAATGTGCCAAAATGAAGTATTCAATTACAAGGTATTGAAGTGAGAAAGTTAAGGTATTTGTTTTAGCCGTCATGTTTTTAAGGACGTTATCAAATACCAAATACAACATTACTTCTAACGAAATCCAAATTCCAATAACAACATTACAACTAACAAAATCTAAATTCCAATTAACATTTAACAAGTATTTATAACTAATATCATTCTTTTTATGGAAAATACTAAAAAATCCCAAATAAAAACTCATATACCCAAAAAGTCCCAAAAAATATTCTTCTATCCGAGTTTATTGGTTATAGGCTCGCCCGGCTCGTCTATTCTTTCGGGTTTTGGGTTTATGTCAGGTTTGTACCAAACAATTACATACTTTACAACTTTGTAGTCGAATGTGTTCAAAAAATCACAATCGAATACGAAAATCTAGAATATTCATGAAAAGTAAAAAAAAGATAAAAACTATAGTCGCATGGTAAAATGAAAACTTTGTTCCTTAATATGACAAAAAATGCATAGAGCTCAAAATGAAGTAACATAAAACTAGGGGTGAAAATCGGATCGAATGGATCGGGAATGTTTTTTTCGAAAATTTTCAAATTTTTTTCGGAAGCTTAAAATAGGTTCCAATTTCCGTTCCAAAAAAATCGAAATTTAAAAATCCATTTCAATTTCTGAATACCTCAGAATCGGCGGAATTTCGGAAATTTCGGAAATTGCATTAATTCTTAAATTCTTGAATCCATTTTTTAGCCTTTTTATCTAATATTTTCGTAATTTTCCGCCAAAATACAAGAATCCAAAGCAAAGGTCAACAAGATGAAATGTAAACACTTGTAAAAACAACATAATTATTTTTCTATTCATGTTTTGCAAGAATTATGTTTATATATATTTCGGAAATAAAATCGGTTCGGAAATCAGAATTTCCAATAATTTTATATGTAATTTCAATTCCGTTCAAAAAATAATTGGAAAAATCGGAATATCGAAAATTCGAATGAAAAAGAAAAAGTGTTCCAAATTTGGAATTGGCGAAATTTGGAAATTCCATTCCAATTTCCACCCCTACATAAAACCTATATAAATTTACTTGTAAAATTTCAAAATACGTGGACGGCAGGATTCGAACCTGCGCGGGCAAAGCCCACATGATTTCTAGTCATGCCCGATAACCACTCCGGCACGTCCACATTGATGGAAGGCATTTTCCGTTATATGTTATATATAGGTTTAATATTTTTTCTTTTCTTTCTCCGCATGTACAAATTGTTTTCCACTATATGCTCACACAAAACCACAAAAAAAGCAAGACAAGTTTGCAGATGCTGCAGTTGAATGTGTGGGGTGGTAGCATGAGTGAGAAAGTCTAGTATTTATGAAAGAGAGCATATAAGGAAAATATGAATCATTTTTTAAGAATTAAATATTATTTGCAGCAGATTTGCATACTCAAGTTTAGCAAAAATCACAGTATGCATATAGAGATGATTATACTGTGAATCTCATGTGAAAATTATAGAAAATCTGTGTGTGCTGCTGCTTTAATTTTTCTTCAGTACCCCCAAATATTCGTCTTCTGTTTTTATTTTTCATGCTTTAAAATAAACACTAGAAAAAAAAATGGAATTAGTGAGAGTGATACTATCAAAAGTTATCACTAAATACATATATTTATGTTGTCACTAATAACTCGTTTTATTGTCATTTAATCATATTTTACTGTCACTAATAGAAGTGACAATCCCTTTTAATTGTCACTAAAAGAAGTAACAAACCTACTATTTGCAAAATTTTATGTCAAACAAACTAGAAATTTCAAAGTTTGAGACAGACAATAATAAGTAAAAAATAGCAGATTATAGATGAAAATTGCCAAAGCTTGTTCGAAATAAGTGAATTAACAAAAAACAAATGAGCAATAAAGAAAATTTGGGACCTAATTCAGAAATTAGCAAAATGAGAAGGAAGATTATTCTATCAGTTCCAAACTATGTTCCAACAATTGAATTTGAAATAAACATGGAGAAATTGTAATAATAAAGACTTATAAGGGTATTTAGTAAAACATCCATACGGGTATTCTAGTAAAACATCCACTCAGGTTATAAATGAATATGTTATTACAATTTAATATTTGGAAAATTATTTTAGAGACTTGAACAAAATGTACCATACGCAAAAGTGCAGTCTTATATAAGTGGGAACAATTTTTTTAGAGGATTTAAATGAGGATGAATGTGGAAATGTGGCATGTAAACCTGGACTTTGGAGAGCGCCACTATTGATGTCTTATGTGCGATAAAAATTAAAAATAAAGAATTAAAACTCAGATATAAAAATAAGACAACATATAAAAGAAAAAAAAATAGTTTACTATAGCTTTTTCATAATTTTTGTTGCCTATAATTGGAGGATGTTCCAACAATCTTATTCAAATCTTTTGTATATTTTGTGTTATTAATATTTAGGAAAAGTGCAAGAAAATACACGTCAATGGCACTTAATTAAAAAAAGTGATATCCTATTTCTTTTGCCTTGCAAATATATTTCACTTCATTTAAAACTTATTTCATAATAAGAATTTTTTTTCATATACATCAAATTTTTTCCCAACTTCTTTAAACTCTAATTTAACCCCAATTTCATCAATTAACCAATTTTGACCCTAATTCTGACAGCCACCACAGGTCTCCGATGTTGACTTTTTTTTTTCTCGAAAAACTATTTTGATTAATAATATTGTCTTCGCATGCAAGATTAGTGTCTCATACATCAATATAACTGTCAAATATAGCAATATTAATGTCAAATACAGTAATATCAATGTCAAAAACAGTAATATTACTGTGCTAATATTAATACTACTGTCCTAACTGCAATATTACTATCTCAGATAGTAATATTACTATCTGAGACAGTAATATTGTTGTTAACACATTAATATTAATGGATTAATTAATTTATTTTATCGGCTTGACCTGCAATATTACTGAATATTAGTAATATTATTGTTTTGGCATTCAATATTACTGTCTCAGACAATATGAAACGATAATATTGTTGTTAGCACAGTAATTTAGGAAAAGCAAAAAAAAAAAGACAACACCGGAAACTGACAGGAAAAATAAATTAAGAAAAAAAAAGTTATCTTCTGAAAAGAATCAAACAATTGTAAATATCGGGGTTAATGTGACATATTTTTTTTCAAATATTGGTTGAGTTATAGGATAATGGAAGAAATTGATGTAAATTATATCATTAGGGGTATTTTGGACAAAAAATACGAGGATGGTTTTATTTGCGAAACAGTTTTTTTTTTCTTTTTCTGGACATCCAGTTAAACCTCTATAAATTAACACAATTGGGACCATCAAAACCTATTAATTTAGAAAAATATTAACTTATCGATAAATTAATAATTATCAATTTATATATTAGTTAATAATTTATAAATTTATGAAATTATTGTTATTATTATTTCCAACAAATACATTTTTGTATTGAACAATTTTCTGTTGAGTTATGAGAAAGCTATACCAGAAGTTCTAATCTTGTTAAGAAACACGAGGGACAAGACTGATGGTGACATGAACTTCAACAATAAACATGACAATAAAATTATATTTATTAAGTTTTCATGGATCTATAAAATATGTATTGTTGAATGTGTATTATCTTATAAATTTAGCGAATTATTAATTTAACACGTAGTCCCCGAGTCGGGACCGGGAAAAAATATTATTTAACAGAGATTATTAATTTATCGAGGTTCTACTGTATGTGCATTTAAGTCCATTGTCATTGGGTTATATGCAATTCACCATTAATATTTATGTCAACATAATATTATTTGTTAATACATCATAATTTTTTAATTATCTTTTTATATACTAGGGTAAATTACAACCATACCCCTGAGGTATGCTTAAATAACTTTAAGGTCCCTGTGGTATCGATAATTACATTCCCCCCTGAAACATAGTTAGAAACTCTAATGAGATAATACATTAGATACGTTATTCGGATAGAGTTCTAATGAACTATTAGTTTGAGGAAGTGGTGAGCTAGGGGTGGTTTAAGAAATGTTGGGGGAGCCATGTCACCCCCTAACTTTATGTTGTCTCTACCACTAACTAAAAGTAAAAGTCCGTTAGTTTCATAAAATTATAAAAAGTAATAGTCCGTTAGTATCAATTTTACTAATTAAATATAAAAATATTGAAAATTTAATTTTGTAAATTTTATATTAATAGTGAATATTTTATTATAATTTAATATTTCAAGAGACATTTTAGAGAGCAATAAGATATATCAATTGGAGCAATTTTAATTTGGAGAGTGCTAAAAGTGAGATCCATTTTTAAGGAGGATATAATTTTTTTAAGGAGGATATAAAGAGGGTGAAAATGAGTATACGGCATATGGGGCCCACAATTTGGAGAGAAATTTTTTAGAGCGCCACTCTGGATGCTCGATTTTGTAGAACCTACGTACAGTTGGTAAAATACATTTTGTGATTTTACACCAATGATCTATATATAATAATACACACATCCATGTACACCTTAAAAGCACATGGTATATTTCACCAAATGTAGAATTTCATCCGAATGCTCTGAAAAGGTAATAGTTATATGAGAAAAGTCAAAGGACAAAATATGTATGTAGGCTTGTTGCCCAAAAATAAAATGAAAATTTTGGTTGAGGAGAGTAATCAATTTGGAAACAAGGCTTTTGGAAAAGTTCCATTTTTTTGGTTTTCGGAAATCTAATAACATTTTCGGTTCCAATTTAGGATTTTTCGAATTGAAAAGTCTATTCCAATTCCGAATATTTCGGAAAATCAGAACTTTCAAAAATTCCAAAAAAATCTCAATTGGAACCATTTTAATTGGAAATATTTGTAGTATAATTGGAATTTTCAGAAATTTCAAAGAAATAAAAAGTAATTTGTGTCTTTGTCTATTGAGTTAAATAAAGACTAATCTAGTATGTTCAATCTTTTAGAAGTGAAGTATTTATGGGGCTTTTGATAAGATTCCCCAAAAAAAATTATTAAGAGGAAAATGTCCAACCCTATTTCATTCTTTGAAATAAATCCATGCTCTTTTTAGAATTTTCTATTTTTTTTTTAATTTTTTATTATTATTTTATTATTTTGTTTTACTTTTTTTTTTTAGTTTAAAAATAATTGTTTTTAATCCTTTTTTTCTCTATCACGTATATTAATGGACTAAAACAAAGTCAATTAACAAACTGACTACTATAATCGTGGTTAAATAATAAAATTAACTACTAAAGTCTAAAAGTAAAAAAAAAAACCAACCGTGATGCCTTCAATGAAATCCAACATGATTCAACAAAAGAATCCAAACAATAACCAACCGAAATAAATAACATAAACAACTACAAAAAATGAAAAAACAAAATATATAAAAATTGTAATTAATTTATACAAATTAGATGATGAACTGAGAATGACAGAACAAAAATGCACCACCGCTATGCCCCAAGTCCAACTATGTGTGGCAAAATAAAGAAAGTATAAACACAAATTAAAAAATGAATTCAAAAATATTATCGATTATCCTTAATCGACTACTAAAGCGTAGCCGATTAATCTTAATCGACTACTAAAACGTGGTCGATTAATGATCCAACCTCCGCAAACTTCCTCCGCCCGCGCCTTCCTTCGTGCAATCTATCAAAAAACCCTAGATATGCTTCCAATCGTCGCACCACCACACCATCACCATCCCCACACCATCAACACCGTCTGTCTCACCACACAATAGAAGGTTCACCTCATCCACCACCGTCGCATTTGGAGCTTTTCACTCGATGGTAAATCGCCATATTCCGCTTCTTCGGCGCTGCAGATGGGCGTCTAAAACTACTGGAGGAATTATGTGCTCCTCAAACATTGTTGTTTGAGTTGGACTTAAAAATATGGTTTTACATCAACGAGACGCACCAACTCTTCACTCTCCATCCCTGCCGCTACCGCCTACACCAAAACTTTCTACTGGCTTCGAGGTTGTTGGTGAAGAAAAGCAGAGAAGAGAAGAGAGAAAAAAGAAACAGAAAAAGGAGGAGAGAGAAATGGAAACTTAAATTAAAATTCTGAAAAATTACAATACACACTTTAAATTTATTTGGATTATTTTAAAGGGAAATATTTATTTATCCTACAAAAACAACATTTAAATAAATAAAGTAGGCTCACGTAGTCAAAATTTTAGAGATCCAATCCAACCAAGACTGCAAAAACTTTCCACTGCAGCACTGTGTTCTGTTCTCTCTAAGGGCATCTCCGATCGGACACTATAACGCCATTTTTTCATCTAATTTAGGTGTTTTTAACCTCCCACCCGAAATTCCTATATCACCATTACACCTAAAATTATAGAGATTTGGTTTTAGCCTCTCACCGTGGTCAATCCCCATATCACCAAATACTCAAATCCTATTTTTCCAATTTTTATCTCCCACCGGTCCACAATTTTCCTATTTTTTCCACCAAACCCTATTTTTCCTACCAAATATAGAGGTGGAAATATGATTGCCGTAATTAACACCATTTTATTAAGTACCATATAAAATGACGATTTTAACTAATTGCACCCGATTACCAACTTATTAGCATATTTATCGTAAATACATTGGTATTAATTATTAAATTAGTTTTTAAAATATAAATAAATTTGATATTATTAACAAAACATTAATTCTAATAATATAAATATGCTTATTTTTAATTAATTTGTATATTTTGTTGGTATCAATGTTTATTAGTTCATTTCTTTACTTAACTTATATGCTAATTGCTATTAATAAAATATAATAAGAAACAATAGAATAATTAACGAAACACACTTTAATTGATGAAATACAGGACTGAGACATTTATAGACATTTAATATAATGATAACATAATTTTTAAATTATATAATTAAGAAAATTTATTACTTAGCATTAGATCTATAATTAATATTTATGAATAAAATATTATAAAATTACGATTAACATTAGATTTACATTTTTGGGGCATATATGGTGAAATGGCATGGGAGACCAAACTAAATCCCATTTCCTATAAGTGGTGAAATGGTGAAATATTATTATTTTAATATTTGGTCTAAATTTTGGTGAAACCCATTGGAGATCAAAAACACCATTTTTCTACCAAAAATGGTGAAAGGGTAAAATTGTGTGGTACCGGTGGGAGATGGACCCATTTTTTCACAACCAAAAATTGAATTTGGTGAAAAAATGGTGAAACCGGTAGGAGATGCTCTAAACCCAGCCCAAACTCTAAACCCAGCCCAAACTCAATTTGCGGATGCTCCAAACAACCATTCCATTTCTCTCTCTCTCTTCCATTTCTCTCTCTTCTTTTTCTTCCCCGTCAATTGGACAATACGGATTAAAAGAGATAGTAAAAAAAATTAGGTTTTGGGAGAGCAATTCAACAACACTAGGGTTCTAATCACGCCACCCCCAGGTTCTAATTTTTCTTCCCTGTCTACATATTTGTTTTATTTATTGTTTAATTTTGTTTTTTGTTTTGATTTGTTGTGCATTATTAGTGATTTATGAGTAACCCTGGTTAATACACTACACTAGGATTTGTTTGGTGAAAATTTCATACATTAGATTACACTTTTTAATTTATACTTCTAGATTCTGCAAGTAATCAACTTAAATATGCAGTATTTTTTTTTTAATTAGACTTTGAAAGCTTATTCTCAAATTGATTATATTCAGTTGTAAGAGATATATTTTCTGGGCAAAAATAAAACAAGAACCAACATTAAATCTCCGTCTTTCGATTTTCAGGGTGATGGCAAGAACTAGGCGTAAGCGCACAAATCACGAGTCAAGTTCGACTAGGTTGCTCGATGAACAACATCTACAACAACAACAAGATACCACAAGTATGTTGTTATCATTAAAAATTCATTCAATATACGTTGCAATTTATCTCGAAAGTGCAGTACCAGTTATTCTTATAAACTTGCAAAATATAGTGATGGAAAGCATTCGACATAGTGCACACATTAGAAACGAGAACGTGGGCCATCCATTAGAGTCGAATTCAAATGATGTCGATAATTCAGTGCTTGACCAAACAGGTAATTTCGAGCATATTAATATTTAATATATGCCAGGATTTTGATTCTTGATTATCTCGTTTCTATCACACTTTGTTGTTTACTATTATTTTGTTTGTAGAAAATGTCCGACAAAAAAGGGCTAGAGGGCCTACTTACATGACACGTGTTTGGGCAAGGAAGGGTCGTAAAGAAGTTCAGTTCAATGAATATGGGCAAGCTATCGGGTTAAATAAAAGTGAATACGTTGAATTCGTCGGCACGTTAGTGAGAAACGGTAAGTTACTTCCTATTGACATTAAAGATTGGCATCGAGTGCCAAAGACTACAAAAAGCAAGCTAGTCGAACTGGTTAAGGTACTATCAAGCCATCTGCACCCTTCTTTAATTTTAGGGTAAATTACGGCTACCCCTGACGTAAGGTCAAATTACAGAAAAAAAAACCTCATGTTTGGGTAATTACAACCACCCCTCTCAACTATGAATCTTCTTACACGTCCACCATTGTGGTGTTAAATTTAGTGGAATCTTCTAGATTATGTGGAATATTCTGCAGTTTGTACTCATTTTACCCATTCGAGCTCCACATTTTGCAACATGACGATTATAAGATGTGTCTCTTGGCTTGTAAAATATCAGATCAGAAACTGCATTTTTGCACAAAACGAGCACAAACTATAGAACATTCCACGTACTCTAGAAGATTCTGTTGAATTTAACCCCATAAGGGTGGATGTGTAATAAGATTCATAGTTGAGGGGTAGTTGTAATATTTACAGGAATGTTTTTTTCGTAATTTGACATTACCTCATGGGGACGGCTGTAATTTACCCTTAATTATAATGTTTAATTTGAATAAACTATCTAAATATATATTTTACCTTTATAACGTAGGCGAAGTTCCACGACGCACCTGGTTTTGAACATAACACATTGATGAATTTAGCGAAAAGTTGGAGGAACTGGAAAAATAGAGTAAAAGCGAATTATTTCGATCCGGACTTATCGTTGGAAGAAAATATGCGCAAACGACCGGATACTGAAGACGAAAGGGTCTTACCTGATCAATGGAAGAACGCAGTGATTTACTGGAGCAGTGATAAATCGAAGGTAAATAGTTCACTTTGTAAAGTTTCGATTCAACATCAAAATTAGGGTTTCGGGTTAGTAATAGATTAATATATTCCATAATTTACTGATCATAGTTTTTATTTTATTTTTGAATATTCAGATGATAAGTGCTAAGAATAAAGTAAGCAGATCAAATAAAAGTATGCATCACACTACCGGGAAGCGAAGCTTTGCTCAAGTTAGAGAACGGATGAAGGTTCGTTTTATGCCTATATCAGACCGATTTTTTTTTTTTTTTTTTAATTTTTTAATTTTTTTAATGATGTAGTAATTTTGTAGGAGTCAGAAGCATCGGTTGACGAAGATGAAACGGGGGATAATCCAATTATAAACGGACCAAGTAGAACAGATCTTTTCGTTAAGTGTTATACACGAAATGGAGAGTCTTCTAATCCTAGTGTAGTAAATTGTTTGGTACGATAATTATCGACTCTTCACTCTTATTTAAATTTCAGATTACGTTAAGTAAAATACTAATTATATCCGTTTTCATCTTCAGCGGAAGATGAAAGATTTAATTAGTGAGCTTCCTAGCGGTGCAAAAGATATTGGACCGGACGATATTTTTTCCCAAGTAGTTGGACAAGATAAACCGGGTCGAGTAAGAATGTTTGGTCGTGGTGTAACTGCGTCCGTTGTATACAGTGATTTGCATAAGGGAGGCGAGACTTCTCATACGAACATAGCCTATAAGAATGAAATAGATGCGTTGAAGCAAAGAGCTGACGAGCAAGATAAACTTATAATCGAGCAAAATATGCAAATCCAGGAGCTTATATTAATGAACAGGCAAAGAATCGAACAATATTCTCCGCCACAAGCGGATAGAGTCCGTTCGATCTCTCATCACCCGTCGACCTCTTCCTCGAGCCAATTGCCTACCTCCTCAAGCAAAGAGCCTTTACGGGTAAGTTAATTATATGATGGACAATGAGAAATATGATATAGATTTTAGGACAAAATGCAATTCGCCCCCTAGAATTTTTAAATTTTGCACTTCCCTCCTTACAAATTCAAAAAAGAGATTCTTCCCATTCAAAATTTTGTTTCAATTGCACGTTCCCCCAAATTAAAGTTTTCAGTGTATTTTTCACCGGAATTGCCATGAATCCGTCCAATTGAAGGGCATTTAAGTCATTTCAGGGACGGGTCATCATAATAGCTGTTAGTTGAAGATTCTCACAATTTTGAGACCACAATAGCCACAATTCGTTTCGGGAGAAAAATAACCGTACATTTTATTTTTCTGAAATTAGTGAAATGGGTTGTATTTTTCATCTATTAGAAAAGATAAGGATAGTAGGATTTGGATGGGAATAATGAAATGACTCAAGTGCCCTTGAAGTGGATGGGTAATTGGCAATTCTGACGAAAAATACACCGAAAATTGTGATTTGGGGCAAAGTGCAAATGGAACATAATTTTAAGGAGGATAGTCTCTTTTATTAATTTGTAGGGTGGAAAGTGAAAAAGTAAAATTTCTAGGGGCAAAGTGCATTTTGTCCTTTAAAATTAAAAAAAAAAAAAAAACTGTAACAGTTTTGATGGCTAGCAAAATGTTGACTATCCAGAAACAGTATACATAAAAATTCTTATTAGTTTAAAGAGGAATAAAGTCGAGATTCTTTTATATTCGGTTTATCTCTTAGATAGTAAAGCTTGACCTTTCGTATTTTGTTCTTGTCCGACTTTTATCTCTATATTTATCGAGCCTCTTGAATTTTATCAGTTGAGGAACATGACAAGAAACGTAAACATCTCGTGACTATATGTTTTAACTTTTGATGCACATTGAAATGTATAATTACATATGGTTAATTACTTCATTTATAAGCTAATTTTATTCTAATGTTTAATGTAGGTTGGAGGAAAAGTCAACTTGAGAAGTATATTTGAATCTTCAAAAGTCGTAGCGATTGGTTTTCTTGTAAATACATCGAAATCTGGTGAACAAATACAATTGGGAAAAAAATGGTGCGATGTTATAATTAATGTTGGAATTGAATCGGACGAGGAGTTGATTCGTCCGACTGCCCGTTCCAGAACTATTGGTGAGGCTATCGGCGAGGTTATTGCTTGGCCACAAAACTTGGTAATAGCATTTTGAATTTTTTGTAACGAAATATGTATTTATTCAAGAATTGTTTTGATTGAACTAAATTTTAATATTTTGATTGTCTTTATAGGTATTCATGGATGAAGAAGTATGAATACATGTAGATCTCGAAATCGGATGGAAATTAGCTTTCGAGTTGTGATATTTGTGTTCACGTAATGCGTTTTTTGGTGCTTTGTTTTTTTTTGAGAAGGAGCTTTAGAATGGTGTTTATGCATATGTTTGTGATAGATTGTCATTGTATACTTATAATTGTATGTAATTGTTTAATAATTAGACATAATTGTATGTAATTGTTTAGCAAGTAGAGTTCCCCTCTTACAGTGTGTTATTGTGATGTTGAATAGTGTCACAATAATTAATCTAATGGGAATTGGGAACTAATACTCCGTCGCCATTTTCTTATGTTTCAAATTATTTGTCATTTTACTGTTCGAATGAATCATTAATTGTAATTTTTTCAATATTGCCCTATCTCACTCATAATTTATTTACATATAATTAGTTAAAAATCAATTGATAGCATGGGCATTTTAGTGATTTGCTATACTTTTTGTTATTATCCATGTATATTTATTGTGTTTCTTATTGTGTGTGCAACTAACAAAAGTGATAACTATTAATAAAAGGAGGGAGTATTATTTTAGTGCATATTAAATACAGATCAAATACATGCATACAACTTTACGATAGAGCAAATGAAAGATAAATTTACGATAAAGCTTGTTGATAAGCTATATCAAGCACCAATAGAAAAGGAAAGGAAATTGCGTTGATTTTGAAGCTACGATTTTGATCAATTTATAGATTTTGAATTACAAAAGTCCAAATCCATATCCATGGAGGTATGTACATGGATTTTTTTTAATTAATTGGTTTAGATAAGATGAGATTTCAAACCAAACGAGAAATAAAAGGAGATCAAATTTTCTTGCTAAAACTACCTAACCTGCTGCATATTCTGATTTTTTGAAATTTACAATTTACTCCAAATTTTCAAAATTTTCATTTTAGTCCGAGTTTGAAAATTTTACAATTTAGTCCAAATATTTAACAGAATTTGCAGGTTTGTTCCATTCAGCATCTGGAATTATAATTACATTTCAGTATTTTCAGTTGTCATTGATTTCTTTAAATTGCAGCAGGGTCCCTAAAGTTTTCAAAGTTTATAATTTGGTCCCTAGACTTTCCAATTTTGAAATTTGATCCTTTAATTTTCAGAATCTGTTACAGAATAATTATATCCTCAGACAAAGTTCTTTTTCAGTTTGATAAAATACTATAGCACATGATTTGTTTCCTATTTTCTACAATGGAGTATATTGAGTCCATAATGGGAGAAATGTCTATGGCTTATGTAGTCAATTGACTTTTAATGAGACAATTTTTCCGTCGTTAGGGGAGATAAGAAGCCGATTCTTGTATAACGGCGTGAAATCATATGAAGTGATCTTTATCTTATCTAGACTTGTGCATGGAAATATTTAGCACAAAAGAAAAAGTATTTATTTGCAACAACTTTAATGCGAAAAATGCCAAATGTATTTATCGACAAATATGGCAACTTGAAGTTATACATATGATGCAAATGAATGCAAGAGAAAATTTCTAAGAAGGGCACATTTCACATCGTGATTGCATCATGAATTCCCTACAAAGGTGAATAATGATCAAGGTTGTAAAAAGCGGTAATTGGGTCGGAGGCGGTCATGGACCGACTCACGATTAATCGGTGCGGCGGTGATTAATCGGTGATAAATCGGAAATAAATCGGTTTTTAAAAATTAATATAATATATTTCTAGATATTATTTATAAATACTAAAAAAATGTATAAAAAGATATTTAAACATAGTTATATCTCGATCACGTATATATCTTAATAAAATAATAAAAGTTTAATAATAATAAGATCATAATACATAAATATCATTATAAAATATAAATAAAAAAAGTAATTTTTTTGAATTTACCTTTATTCTTGAACATTCGTAACAATACATCATTAGTTCTTTAACAATAACAATTAACATAAAATAAAATAAAACATAAGCTCATATTTTTGTTATTAAAATACCAACTTTTATTTTGAATTATAAAAAAAAATAAAAAACAAATCGATTTTTGACCGATTTTTTGCCGATTTTTGCCACCGAAGTTTGACCCGCCATAAAGGTTTGACCGCCTCAGACCGCCTCTGACCGCCTCAAACCGCCTCGAACCGCCGCCTAAAACCGCCTCACAGGCAAAAAACCGAATTTTCAAACATTTACACTAAAATCGTAAAGGTTTTTGACCACCTCCGCCTCGGAGACCGATTAATCGGCCGCCTTGGCCGATTTTTAGAACACTGATAATGATTATGGTACACTTGCAGCTAACCAATTACCCGTTATACCTATAAGAGGGGGAGATGTGATGGTTTGAGTGATTAACCCCTAGAAGTGGGTAAATGTCTAGTTAAAGTCTACTGGCGCTTGTAGCGTCATACTCTCATCGTATTACTTACCTCATTTGATAAAAGGATTCGTCTTAAAGACGATGTTGGGGGACGCCTCAACAAAAATATCCATTACCATGATTTGAGAATTTTTGCCAGTTATGGTGGCGTAAACAAAAAACATATTTGGATGAGAAAATCATTGATGATTATATGGTAGCTACCGAGACCATTTTAAATCGAGCCATTATGTACCAATAAAGAGTTATTGGCAAATAAATTATGGTTAACTTGCTCTCAAAGTGAATAGAGAGGCATTAGAACCATTAGTTCTCAAACTGGTCCACTGAAAAGAAAAAGAATATGTTAGTTTTCTAAAATCTATATATAATATAAAAAGAGGATCTATGCCCTCAATGATTGACATGTGGCAAATGATGATGTCATTTATCAAAATTGCTTAGTTGGAGTTCAATTGATGAGGTGGATTCTTCAATTGGTGAGTTGTCAATTTTATTTTGGTATGTAATTAAGTTATTTCCTATTTAACATTTATACACTCATTTAAATAATTACCACGTGTATATATATTATTTCCAAAATTAATATTTTATAAATTTGAAATAAAAAAATCTTAGTTACATTTTCTGTATTCAAAATATATTTAATGGTAGTCTTTTTAAAAAAAATCAGTACACTCATTTTTTTTACGAATATTCAAATAATTTTCAGAAAAAAAAAAGATTTTTTTAATATTCAAATATTAAAATAAAAGAATACAGTTTTTTTTTCAATATTCTTGAATATTCGAATATCCATTCAATAAAAAAATATTAAAAAAATTATATTAATAT